AAAGTGCAGGTCTGCAGCTCTATTTTCAATGAAATGCTTTGAAAGAATACAATAAGACTTTATGAGCCTCTTTGGACAATTTCTGTTTAATAAAGCTGCAATAATAGTATGAAAAATCTGGTGATGAACTATATATTACAATGAAATCTTTTATAAATGAACAGCAAAATAAAGTCTATTTATCCAAATTTTTATATATAAAACTAAATTCGCTGAGGGCAGATTTGAGCACAGTTCTTACAATGCTAAGAGCGACATACCTGCTTTTAAAACAACAGTGAGACATTTCAGACACAGCATGAAAGAGAGAACCACTGAGAGGACAAAAACAGAAACAGAGAGGAAGAGCAGGGGCTTGCAGGTATTTTGAGTAACACTCACCCTCAGTTTCCTCTCCAGCCGAGCTGCTTCTTTACACATGGGGTGCCAAACCTCTGAACCTGCACATACACACATGCGATTTTATCTCAGTTTACTTTGTTTATTGCGTGTGGGCAGCAGCCATACAGTTTTATGGGATCCTATGAAGAGCAGATCAGCTTTTCTCAAGTGCATCAACATCAATCAAAGGCACACACACGAGACACTGTGTGTGTGTGTGGAAGCAGTTTGTCTAAACTGATAAGAGAGGATGTAGCTCTTGTGGTCTCCTACACAGATAAATATCAAGAGGGAAAAATAAAAATTCTGTCCACTCCTTTGTCCAAACTGAAATATCCCAACCATAATTAAACAGATGTTTTTCTCACAGTAACTCATCTTTTTAGTTTAGCCAATTCTTATTCATGTCATCATCTTCACCTGTCATTAATGTTTAGTGACATTCTGAATGTGTGAAAACAATTTAAGCCATGTGATCCCCAAATTTTGTTGTTTTTGCCATGTCATCTTTTAGCGACTCCCTATTTTATTTTGAAGGCCTGTCCCTCATGTAGCTCTATTTCCTGCCTTTGCTCATTTCCCGCCATCCTTATTGTCTAATTTAGTTTATATGAACCTTACTAGCCATTTCCACCTGGTGGGTCTTTAGCCTGTATGACTTCTCAGTCTGTCATTTTATCAAGCTTTTATCCTGCGTCTTCTTTCAGCTTTTATAAAACGACTTAGACTTGGAATTTGCTGCTAACGCTCTACATTGTGTTTTGTTAACAACTTTATGGTCAATAAAGTTACTTTTTGCAACCTGTCTCTCTACCTCCTTGTTGTGGTTTTGCCTAAAATGCAACAGATATTAGCAAATAAGACACAATAAACAGTATTGCACGAATAACAAGAATGGAACTGAAAAGAATGAACAAGTGAATAATGCTGAACTGCATGTTGTATGTTTCTAATTATGTCCACAAAGTTATTAATATTGAAGTAGAAGCCTTACTTTGCTTAAACTTGTTTTTTTTTCTTCTTGTATTCTATAGCAATGATTTAGCCAGCTGATTTATCATCAACCATATGGAAACTTCTATCGCTGTATTTGATTATAAAAAATACATTCAGTACTTTTTCTTTAGTTTTGCTATCATGTTTTCATGCTGTGCTTCTGTGAATACTTCTCATTGCTTATATTACATTGTAGACTAAAATAAAAACTAAGTACGTTTCAAAATTGTTCCATTAAGGAAGCCGGCATGATTGTACCATCATCCTTTTTAAACAGAAAAGAGAAAGTAAAACAAGTGTTAAAGCGCAAAAATGTTACATCAAATATTGCAGGATGCAACATTATAATCGTGTTGTTGTTTATATTTTTTTTGACTGCGTCAAATTGTGTCATAATTGTGCTTTAACAGTTATGGCAAAATAATTTTCTGAATGAAAAAGAAGTGAAGTAATTAAGGGAAAAAGAGAAGAATGAGCAACAGTAAACAAAGAGGAGCAGGGTGAACTACAGCGCAAGAGAGGAAAGAGGCAATGAATGAGATCTCGTAGCTCTTATAATAATCAATGTCAGGATGTTATATCCATGTAGATCTGATAATGACAGTAATATATCCACCCTGAGCACACGTGCGCGCACACACACATGCACGCACGCACGCGCATAAACACACACACACAAATAAATGCATGTGTACACACACGTTGCCTATGTATCATTTTTCTTGAGCCCTGGGGCGGTGCAGGCCAGCAAAAAGAACTCAGTTAGTTGATCATGACTCTAATATACAACCACTATCAACACCATAAATCTGCAACACACATACACACACGCACACGCACACACAAAGCAGGAGGCTATGCACGCCCAATAAGTAGACACACCGCTCTCACACAAACACCCACACAAAATCAATAGTGTAGACAGGAACCATGCGTGGTGATTCAGTGCACCCCCGTCCCACCCACGGTCTTCAACTCTGCTGTCGAACAGATGTGTGGCCTTGGACTTGAAATCCTTTTTCTACAGGATGAGGAGAATTTAAATTGTGCAGTGAAAAAGAATTTAGTCTCAAACACAGTGCGAAATAAACTCTGAGAAAACTAGCTGCATGCCTATTTATTTTTTCTTTTAACAATAGTGCCATTATAAAGTAACCTGAGATATTTGGTATTTTTTCCTACATGCAGATGTGGGATGTAGGAATGAAGGCTCTGCTGTCTTTGTACAGACTTTATGCAAAATAAGGGTAATCAGTGGAACAAACTGGCCATGTGATCTTAACTCTATTCAAAAATATGAGGCGAAGGCAACCAGTGTGAAACCCAAGGAAGTAGTATTAACATTTATATATTTCTACCATTTGAAATTCTAAGTGTAGTCTATAAAAAGATATTTAAATATTCAGAAAATTTTCCTTATTGCTGAGCCATGCTGCCAATACAAAGTGTGTACACACTGAGCACATGAAATGCATACTGTATGTCTTTTGAAACTGAGACTACACCGAGTAAAGAGTAAATATATGTGGTTAATCATCAGTTTCTACTTGGAAAGGAACATTTCATTCAAACAAAAACTGATTCTGCCAAACAAAAATGATTCTCTTTGGCATCGCTTATCACTCAGCTGTGGTCAGAAATACAACCCACAGGCATCCAAATACTCTTGTGTAGTCAAAAATTAGTGT